ATTATTTCGAATTTTTGTAATTCATTAAATAAGTCTTGTGTATTGTTTAAATTTTGTCTATCTATTTTTGCTCTTACAAATGTTGGTAATCCTACTGCAATAACATTTATTAAAGTTATAGTATTTGTATTTTTGTTAGTTTCTAGTAGTAGACATTCTTTCAGGCAAAATCTAAGAGTGAACCAGTCAAAAATTTGTAATTTACAGCATATACCACTGGAGACCATCTTTTATCTGCAAACGTTTTCAAGAAATTTTCTCTTCAAATTCTCTATTCTAAATCTAGGGTCTTTTTTATCAGCATTGAGGTATACCAAAATTGCATTGAGCATATAGATTAAGCATTGAGATATACCAAAATTGCATTAGGAAGGACACTGAATATTACTTGATTTGTTTATGTAGAATAATAAGCTCGATTTTAGATTGTAATTGTATTATAATATCCATGCATTATTGAATGTCCACGTACGTAGAACGATTTTTGTTTGATAAACATTGTATGCTAATAATTTTTGGAGGTACATATTTTAATCAGTTTATTTTATTACATTGTTTTCATAGCATATTATGTTGTTTTATTCCGTTATTCTTTGGACTAACCCATCAGCTGTAAAGTATTGATATTGAAGCACGAGTAAAACCTGAGATAACAAAATTGAAAGGTGTGATATAAATCATAAATCAAAAATTTAAATAATTATATATATATATATATAATATATATATATATATATATATATATATATATTGTAAAGTTTTAAAATAAAAATTCTTGATATAACATTAATATTATATACAGTGATGAGTGCTGTACCATCCGGCTTTTTAACTTAAGAGATAGAAAACACAGTTACCTTGTGAAATAAAAAGGGATCAAACTCGTAGAGGTGGGAAATAATCGATAGAAACCTATAATTTACATTACATTGCATTACCACCATCGACAGTCTCACACCTTTAGACGTTAGACGTGGCTATTTGACTTCAGTCATAATTATACGGATACCCTCAAAAATATTTTATTTTAATAATTTCTGATGTTAGAATAAATACTTGAATAAATTAAGATATATTATAGTAAAAAACATTCATTAGTAGCGATTTTAAATTATAAATCTTTAAATTTATTTAATAGTAAAAATAACTCAACTGAAAAATTTGACTAAAATAAAGGTAGGTATGTTTTGTCTGAAAAAATTTAATGTATGTGAGATTGGTGTAGCGGTTAGGGTTAGGGACGTTGTCTATTGACGAGAAAATCGGGGTTCAATTCCACACCAAGGATAAAATTTTTGTTTTATCATTAAAAAAATAATAGAAAATATGATACATATTAGGTAACAAATTTTCGAAAAACTCATTATTTACAATTTATTTTTATTCCAATGTTATAAAACGGAAATACAAAATGATTCAAATTCAATTTATACAGTCTTCAGTTGTGAATGCAAAATAATCCGGTGAAGACTGTTTATATCAAATCCATCACTAAATTCTCAATGTTAATAACAATTCCTCTGTACAGATAATGATTTTCAAAACAATTGACAACATTGGAATGGATGCGCGCGAAGCGAAGCCTTTAAGCCATCAAATAATAACATATCGAGAAGTGTTTTTGCACGGTAAACAGAAACTTTTTATTGAAAAAAACAATTCGTGAAAATGGTTTTAACGGTCGAGGAAAAAGTGCAAATTGTTGTCTGGCATGTGAATGGATTCTTAGACAACATGATTAGGAAACAATTTGTAAATATGTTTCCAAATAGGCCGGCTCCATCACGATCAACAATTCAATCTATTATACGTATTTTTTTTACTTATGGATCCGTATTCGCTCCAAGAGGAGTTCGTAGGCGAAGGGAGGTAAATCCAGATTTGTAACTAAGAGACACTTTGATTTGTGCAAGTATTGACCAAAATCCTACCCAATCAACATCTCGTCTCGGAGAACAATATGGAATTTCATGATTTAGAGTTGGTAAAATTTTGAAAAGACATGGATACCGACCCTATAAACTTCATAAATCCAACGAACAATTCCCTGGGGATCAATATAGACGTTTAGAATTTTGTCAAACTGCAATGGAAATGTCACATCAAGATGAACATTTTTTAGAGAACGTCTTGTTCACCGATGAATATCACAATTCAATAAATGCTCGGTATTGGTCCCGAGGAAATCCTCGTCAGATTTATGTTGCTCGTACCCAGCGTCCTCAAAAAGTAAATGTTTGGGGAGGCATAATAGGGAATCATGTCATTGGTCCATTTTTTATAGACCGTATGTTGACTGGGCGGAAATACTTGGAACTTTTGCAAAATCAAATTGTCCCAGCCCTTCGTAATTTACCAATTCCTTTCGATTCCATATGGTTTCAACACGATGGCTGTCCTGCACATAATTCTCGAATCTTCAGTGAATATCTCAGTGCGACTTTTCCTAATCGATTGATTAGTGGACACGGAGATATTTTTTGGCCTGCTAGATCACCTGATCTTGCACCTTGTGATTTTTTTATGTGGGGATATATCAAGTCCAAACTATATGGAATTGAAGACGATAGGCCTAATTCTCTCCAAGAATTAAGAGAAAAGATCTTTGATTCAATGAGAGGTATTAGTCCAGAAACATTAACTAATGTTAGACGAAACTTTTATAATAGATTGGGTTATTGTTCTGCTGCTAATGGAGGCTTATTTGAACATTTTGTGTAAATACATTTCATTAGAATAAAATACGTTTATTTAGAATATTTTTTATAGAATTTCTGTTTATTTAAACATTTTTTGTAAGTACATTTATTTAGAACGTTCTTTTATGTTTGAAGAATTTTTACTTTATTTTCGAAAGTACATTGTTTTTTCAATAAGATTTTCATGTTTTACTATAAACACTTTACTAATAAAGACTGAAATAAATGTTTTATGATTTAAAGCAAAACGATATATCTGCATAATTTCAAATTTTTAAAAAAGTAAAAACTTTGTGTAGGATTTGAACCCTAACCGCCTGCATGAGTACATCGTACCTTGAGCCCTAATCTATCAGACTTTTATAATTGTTTAGTGACAGTTTGGGTTATTATTCTGCTGCTAATGAAGGTTTATTTGAACATAAATTACTTTTAAACTGGGAATAAGCCACAATTAAAGATAAAAATACGTTTATTGACGTTTCAATTTCCACTTCGGAAATCGTTGTCAAAATACCTTTTTCCGAACGATTTCCGAAGTGGAAATTGAAACGTCAATAAACGTATTTTTATCTTTAATTGTGGCTTATTCCCAGTTTAATAGTAATTAATTTACAATGCCACAAGAAAATAGCTTCAGAACAATATTATTTGAACATATTGTAGATACGTTTATTTACAATATTTTTTTATTTTTGTAAATTTTTTACTTATTTAAACATTCTTTTAATTTTGAAGAATTTTACTTTAGTTTCGAAAGTAGGTCACTATTTTTTCAATAAGATATTTATGTTTAACTTTAAAAACTTCAAATACTAGTAACGACTGACATAAATGTGTAGTGATTCAAAGCAAAACGATCTCTGCATAATTTCAAATTATTAAAAAAAGAAAAAAGAAAACCTCATGTAGGTTTTGAACTCTAATCATCTGCGTCGCAGAGTCGAATTGTTACCACTAATCCACCAAGAATTGCTAATTATTTTGTGACAAGAGTGTATGAAACTCCTCAAATCATAGTAGAAATTATTCTTGGTTAATAATTTAAAACTTTAGAATAAGTAATCACTATTAATTAAATTATTTTATTCACATTTTTGCTTTATTGTGGTCAATCAGTTTTTACTTTATCTAAATTAAAAAATGGAAACACGTCACACATACGACGTCAAACTGTCAAACATAATAATTATGATCGAGGTGATTTAGATAGAAGGTAACGTCTAAAGGTGTGAGACTATCGATAGTCGTAATGTAATGTAATGTAATGTAAATTATAGGTTTCTATCGATTATTTCCCACCTCTACGAGTTTCATCTCCTTTTATTTCACAAGGTAACTGTGTTTTCTATCTCTTACGTTAAAAAGCCGGATGATATGGCACTCACCACTGTATATATATATATATATATATATATATATATATATATATATATAACAAAAATTATGTGTATTTGATAGGTCTATAATTAGAATTATTTTCGATTCGACAGGGTCTCTCGAAGTTGCGCCTTTTTAAGCGGAACACCCTATATATTAAAGCATTTTAAATATATTTATTAAAAATATAAAGTACTTGAATAAGGTTTAAATAGGTATAAATAAGCACTTTGAACCTGCAAACGTTCAGATCTTATAAAAAATACATAAATAAAGTAAATCGTAAAGCTATAACGATTAATTTTATTTGGGATTAGTAATCATTAGATGTTGATTTTCACGATGTTTTTACTAAAAAAAAAGGGGACCAGCTTCATTTTCAGCGCAACTCGAAATATTCGATTTGATATTTGACAAATAAGAAACTATTTTCCTTGAGCTACAACTCTGCTTCTACTGTGTCTACAAACTTCGGACGTACACCATTTTTTGTTTTGTTATAGGCTATATTTATGTTAAATTAATTTTTCTAAAAATGGTTTTTATTTTGAAAAATGAAACTCATAAATAACTAAAAAAAGGTATTGACTTTAACCATTTCCTGATTTATTTTAAACGTATGTTTTTACAATGCTAGTTTTCTGTATAAATGCTGCTTTTACATTGCAACTGAATAGTTTTTTAGACTCCGAGTACTTCAAAAATCTTTTTTTGGTTAAAATTTTAGGATTATGCTGCACAATTCAAAAAAAAACATTGTCCTAATGTTAAAATAGCAACATTTTATATTTTGGCTCGCACAAGCAAATATTTACTGGGAATTTGATTTAAATTTTTAATTTTGTTTTTAAAATTCAACTACTAAGAATTTATTGAGACTTATCAATAATAATATGTTATAAATATAAAGTATTTACTTACAATTATAGTCACAGTACTTTCTTACTCTATTTATCAACTACACACAAAATATTTATGTAATTTGATGAAATCAAAGAGTTTTTCTCTGGTTTTAGTAAAAATTATGTTTTTACATTTATTGGCTGTTGCTCTATTTTTTGTAAGATAAAGTTGGGGTTATCAGTGAAGTTATTAGAATGCATGTAAAATATTTTGAATTTAATCGAAAACAACACGGAATGCAATTATCATTTCATATATTTTTTATAAAATATCGCCTTTATCACAAACAATTTCAATACAGATGTATTCACGTACTATTACTACTAGGTATTAATAATTAAGGGCAGAATACTCTACCCATTACAAATAAAAATTTTAGTAATTTTAGTAAGGAAAAATCTGTTTTTTAATTGATGGTATTCATATTAGTATTTTTTTTATAAAAAACGTGCGTAATTATTAGTTAGCCCACTCTGCTAACTGTTATCTCTATGGGTTTGATTTAAGACACTTTGAAAATAAGCTCTTCAATTAATATTTACATGTAATTTGTTTTGGCTAAGTATATCAATTTTATTTTAGTAAGATATAAAACAGGAATACCTGGACTGTCAGCGTCAACTGTGAAATGAAGATACTTCAATAGGGGAAGAAACCAAGGATCACTATACTGATAAAGCGGCTAGACTATCGTCACTAAGAGAGGAAAAAAGTTGTTCAAAAATTGAGATTACCTCCTCAAATGTGATTTATTGTATTTGTCAAAAAGAGAGCTAAATAAAAATGTGTGCCAATTGCGATTGGAAATAGTGTAACCATATCTATCCCCAGCTTTAATAAAGCCAAAGGAAGGCTCGAAATGTTTTGGGTATTATACAATATAAAAGTGTTAACGGTTTATATAGAGTAAAACGACACAGAAAACCTAAACATACTTTATTCGAGGAATTCATAAAAGAATGTAAAAAGAATTTTCTTCAGATGATCAGCTGTCTCTAGGAGAACTCAGTGAAAAAGATTCTAAATTTGGTTCACAAGGCTTTATAAAATGCTACACCAATAAAAAATGCTTTTCAAAATTATGTAAATGTTAAAGGTCTAACTTTTTGTGTAATTCTAAATTTTATATTGCCTCACTGTCAGAATTAAAACTAATTTTTTATTTTAACGAAGACAATATAAAAATAATAAATATTATAAAATTAAAAAATGACACTTTATTAAACCTAATTTAACAAATTATGACGTTTTAATACCTGACGGAGTTTGACTGGTCAAAACCCGATTTCATAAAATTAAATTTGGACATTTGGCTGACCAAATTAATCACTCCTAAATGTGACGAAAAATTCTTTAGTCAAAGACCGAAAATGAAATTTATTTCAGGGTTTGACTAAGTATGTAAATCAGACTTGAGGATGGACTAGTCAAACCTAGAAGTATATGAGTTTCGAGATTTGACCATAACATATATATACAATATCTCGTTTAAAATATGTTTTTTAAGGATTTTAGTATATGGAGTAATAATTTGGAACGAAGTTTGTATGGTCAAAGTAACTAAAACTGAACCGTACACTGTTTTTTTATAAAAACTCATACACTGCAATAAAATTTGTAAAGATTAATATTAGATACCTATAAGACCAGGGTTCGTATTTTCAAATTCAATCAAATTTTTTCGTATACAAGTTAACTCAAATAAAAAATTTCGTATACGAATCTGAATGTGTATTTTTGAACGTCCTACAAAATGTTATAAGTATACGAGAAGAATTTGCACCGGCAACATGGCAAATTCGAACAACCAAAACTCAAATAAAAAAACGGGTGTGGCAGTCCAGTGGGACTGCCGGTAGAAGTTATACTTCTATACACGCGTTCGCCGTTACAAATTTATATAAGAGTCAATCTGCACAATCATTACATATGTAATGCTATAGGTAAGAGAGAGCAGAAAGAGAAAAATAATTAGTTATATAGGTATATAGTGCATCGTTTGCTCTTTAAAAACATTTGACCTGTAATAGTGGTATAGTAGATGAAGGATTGTATCAATATTTTAATGAAAAAATATATTTTTCTTGTCATATATGTATAAAAGGAGTCGGATGGAAAAAAAAATTTTTACACATACTCTGCAGTAAAGTTCATTGTTTATTATTATAAAAATTACAATACAATAAATACACTGCAATAAATATAATTCAATATAATAATACAATATAAATTAAAATGCAATATTCACAAGTATTTAAAACTGCCAATATACATAACTTACTTTACGAAGATAAAAATAAAAAACTAGCAACTCAGATTATGTTGTAAATTTTCATTTTATTTTAAAATTTAGCATTTTTGCGTATATTACATATATTTAATAAGATTAACGGTCTGAGCCTCAACTTTAAGAAGACAAAGTGGATGCTGATAAGCAAAAAGCAACAACCTGCTCGACAATTACGGATAAGTAACATACTAATTGAGCATGTAAAATCTTATGTGTACCTTGGCACCAACGTAAATGCAAAATGTGAACAGACCATAGAAATTAAGGCAAGAATAGAACGGGCTAGAGCAGCATTAACAATATGAAAAAGCTCCTCATAAGCAAGGATTTGTCTCTTTCCCTAAAACTACGTATAGTTAAATGCTACATTTTTCTGATCTTGCTGTATGGCGTGGAAGCCTGGACGCTGACAGAGACGCTAACGAGAAAACTAGAAGCATTCGAAATGTGGGTGTACCGTCACATTCTTCGTATATCCTGGACCGAACATGTCACCAACATAGAGGTACTCCAAAGAATCGGAAAAGAGAAAGAAATCGTGAATACAATTAAACAAAGAAAGCTTAAATATCTAGGCCACATATTGAGACACGATAAGTACCGTCTGCTATCATTGGTTGTCCAGGAAAAAATAGACAGGCAGGAGAAGACACTCGTGGCTCCAAAATCTGCGGAAGTGGTTCGGGCTCACATCGGTCGAACTATTCAGAAGCGCCGCAAACAAGATCAAAATTGCCATGGCAGGGCACTTGAAGAAGAAGAAGAATAAGATTAATGTTAGGTTTTTAAATATTTCAAAAATAAAATTCATATTGGATTCGAACTCACAAACACCAGCGTATAAACCAAACACGTAAAGGATTTACCAATTAGACATGACATTTACGGATTTCAAAACTGACAGTTCTCGGTCATACAGTGATTATTTTGAAATTCAAAAGCCTAAAATAATTATAAACGTTTAATAAATAATACAAAACATATCACATAAATAACAATATTAATACATATGTAATGGTTTCACAGATTCACTCCCATGCAATTTTCCAACGCCGACCGTGCGTATAGAAGTATAACTTCAAAAATAAGAAAAGTAATGATAGTTTTACTTAACTTATTTTATGGTGATTTTGTCATCTAAAACAATTCGTTTCTTGTAAATTAGCTGAAAGACAAAAAAAGTGCATGCAATATATTGGTTTAGTGTGGGCCGAATAAAGAAAAAAGCCATTTAATCATATCAACTTTATTGTGAGGGGCTTTGTTAATATTTGAAAGTGTACATCAGAATTGTCCTCTAAAACAGTGGTTCTCAACCTGGGGGGCACGCCTTTCTGAAAGGGAGCTTAAGAGAATTTCAGGGAAGGCGTAAGTGTACCTATAAAGAACAAAAATTAAAATTAAAAAATAATATTTTGTTAAAAAACAAAATATTTTGTATTTCGTATTTTTATTTTGTTTAGAAATATTTCTTTATTTAAATGTGGTTAAAATCGTTTTAATCAAACACACAACCTGAGTTAAATACGACAGTCTTGTGTATGCCAACATCGTAGGAGTGCAAATTATATTTACCAGCACTGTATTGCAACCACTCCTGGCTCCAGTTTAATGACTCTGTCTCACGCGAGTTATGGAAGCCGGCCCTGTTCTAGTCATTCACCTAAGAATGATGATCTAGCTAGGTTTTGTGTTTTAATGAACTTTGCAATAAGATTGGGTTGAATTTTTATATTTACTTAAATATCATTTTTACCATTGCCTTTTTAATTAGATATATTTCAGGCTGTGTATAAACTTCAAAGAAGAAACTTTATATAAAAATTGTCCGATCTTTTTCGTATTTATTGTAACCAATTAATAAAGTATTTATTTTTTAAAAATAGTTTTGCCTAAGGGAAAACTATAAGTGGCGCAGTTAGTACAGATTTTCGGGAAAATCCATCGTGGAAAGTTCTTTGGGTTTCAACCCTTCGCGAAAATCGAAAACCGATATCCCAGTTTTGCCAGTGAACTCCATCGAGGAAGACAGTGTGCAGTACGGATGTGGTAAGTAATTTTTGTTTATGTCAGACTCCTCTTTTAAAAACGAATTCTTTAGCGAAATCGATACTAACGAAGAGTTAGGCATAATTAATAATTTTTGTAAATTAGAAATAAAAGATAAAATGGCAACACCTATTCTAGATATGAAAATTTTTTCAATTATTCCAAATTTTGATGGAAATATTAATAAACTTCACAGATTTTTAAACGCAACTGAATCCATTTTAAATCATTATTTTAATAGGAATAATCTAGCCAGTTTTCCAAATGTCTTATTGTTAAATGGTATTCTTAATAAATTAGAAGGCAAAGCAGAATAGTGGCCATAAGCGGCGCTAAAACTTGGCCCGATATAAAAAATACTTTGATTCGGAATTTTGGTGATCATCGTGATGAAAATTGCTTGAATCAAGATTTAGTAAATAACAAACAGAAACCTAATAAATTTCCATATTCTTTTCATACAAGAATTTTAATTTTATTAAATGCTAATTGTAATTATATTAATTTACACTATATTAATCAGCGACGTGAATATAAAAGTGCTTTCTTTACGAAGCAGGCCTTAAAATCATTTTTAGCTGGTCTTAAGGAGCCTTTAGGGCCCATTATTCGTGCAATACGACCTGTTTCGTAAGAGCAAGCGACTCAGTTTATTAGAGAGGATAATAATATTAAGTATTATCAAAAAAATCAAACTTTTAATCACAATAATTCTAATAATAATAATAATTTTATTCGAAAACCAACTAATCCAAATGTCAATCATTTTCAATCAATTC